CCTCTCGGAAAGACTGGCAAGCTACCGAGAGTATTCCGCCCACACAGAAGAGCCTGGCAAGCTATCCGTTGTGTATTCGATATGCCAAAACCAGTAACTACAACTGGTCTCATTCACCTGACCCTGAAGGCTTCACCGACATGACAGCACTGAGAAGGATGAAAAAGGAGAGGCCGACAAAATCTCAAGGCCGACCTAGGCTGCCACAACGAAGGAAGACAAAAATGATCGTCTGTACTTTCAATGCACGTACGCTAGCATCAGCTTTTCTCCTCATTTTTTGTTTTTGTTTGTTTTTTGTTGGGCTGGAGCAATAGCACAGAGAGTAGGGCGTTTGTCTTGCACGCAGCCAACCCAGGTTTGATTCTTCTGTCCCTCTCAGAGAGCCTGGCAAGCTACTGAGAGTATCTCGCCCGCACAGGAAAGCCTAGCAAGCTATCGGTGACATATTCGATATTTCCAAAACAGTAACAACAAGTCTCACAATTTGTTGTGAGATGTTACTGGTGCCTGCTTGAGCAAATTGATGAACAACGGGAGGACAGTGCTACAGTGCTACAGTGTTTTGTGTGTGTGTGTGTTTGTATTTGGGTTTTTGGGGGATTTGTTGTTGTTGTTATTGTTGTTGTTGTTCTTTTGCCTTTTGGGTCACACCCAGTGATGCACAGGGGTTACTCCTGGCTCTGCATTCAGGAATTATTCCTGGCTGTGCTCAGGGGACCCTATGGGATTCTGGGAATCGAGCCCGGGTTGGCCACATGCAAGGCAAACGCCCTACCCGCTGTGCTATCACTCCAGCCCCTCTGCTGATTTTTGGATGAGGATTGGTATTCTCTGTTTTTATGAATACCTTACCAACCTTGGATATCAGCTCATAGATAACATGCTATGCAAATATTTTTTCCCATTCTGCAAGGTATCTTTATTGGAGAAGAGAGTTGCTTTTGCAGTTAAAAGTTTTTTTCATTTTTGGTGGTCGCGTTTTGTTTAGTTTTGCTTCATTTCCTCTGCCATTGGGGTTTGATCATTGCAGATACTGCTGAAACCGTCCTTGTGGAGAATGATACCCATGTTTTCCTGATGTCGCTTATGGCTTGAGTCTAAGATGCAGGTCTTTAACCCAGACTGAATTAGCTTTTGTGTGTGATGGGATGTAGGGATCCGATTTCGTTGTTGTGAGTGACTGGTGATGTTGGAGTCTCTAACACGGTTTGTTGGAGACTCTTTCCTTCCACTTCATATGCACAGCTCCTTTCTTGGAAATTAACTGTCCATACAGCTGAGGATTTACTTCTAGCCTCTCAATTCTAGTCCACTGATCTGAGTCTGATCTATCCCAGTACCACACTGTTTTTATTTTATTTTTTTAAAGATGTTTTAAATTTATTTTACATTCCGAGAAAAAAAATGTACACTAATTGACATAGCTTCAATCATATGGAAAAGTATGATGCAAATTAGTAGCACAGCGGGTAGGGCGTTCGCCTTAGAAGCGGCCAACATGGCCGACCCGAGTTCGATTCCTCCGCCCCTCTCGGAGAGCCCGGCAAGCTACCGAGAGTATTCGATATGCCAGACACAGTAACAACAAAGTCTCCAATGGAGACGTTACTGGGCCCGCTCGAGCAAATCGACGATCAACGGGAGGGCCTTTACCTTTACCTTTACCACTAGTTTATTCAACTAGATATCAAGATAAAAGTACTGTTTAAATAAAAAATAAGCAATGAACCTACATAGATATTTTTTTTGCTGTGTCACATACTTTATGATAAATAGGTCAACAAACTACTTGTCCATGATAGCAAAGTGAAATTACCCATCCTGAAATCACATAAAGATTCCATGACATCAAACAGTATTTTTATTATTTTTTAAATTTTTATTAGTGAGACACCATGAGGTACAGTTGTAGACTTACAAATTTTGTGCTTGGGTTTCAATTATACAATGATCAAGTACCCATCCCTCCACCAGTGCCCATTTCCCACCACCACGGATCCCAGTATCCCTCCCATCCCCCCCATCCCCCCATCCCACCCTGCCTCTGTGGTAGGGCATTCCCCTTTGTTCTCTCTCGCCTTTTGGGTGTACCACACTGTTTTTAATACTACGCCTTCATAGAACAGTTTGATATATCTTCTTTTATTTCCCTCAGAGTTACTTTGGCTATTCAGGAAGTTTATGGTTCCAAATTAAAAGTATTTGTTCTACGCCCTTGGAGAATGCCATCAGAATTTTGATAGTAGTTGCGTTGAATCTGTCTAATGGGCATTTTAACAGTGTTAATTCTGTCATTCCTTGAACATGGATCATTTTTCCAATGGTGTCTTCTTATAGTTACTTTAAACAGTAACTACAGCTAATGTGTATAAGTCTTTCACTGCCTTTATTATGTTTATTGCTAGATCCTTGATATTTTTGGACACAGTTGTATATGGAATTTTTTAGTTTGTTTTATTTTTTCAAAAATGAGATGGAAGCAACGATAATAAATCTTTAAAACTCAGAAGTTATTAATAAAATTAGCCATCAGAGAACTAGATAAAATTAGTCATCAGAGAAGTAGAAAACAAAGGAATAGCACTGATAAATATGAGATCATTTATTTATTTTTTGAATAATAGAATGTTACCTGAGATTTATTATTTTCATTTAAAAATTTTGATATTTTTTTCTTTTACAAAGTAGTTCACAACATTTCATTACATTTAATATTCAAACACCAATCCCACCACCATGACACCTTCCCACCACCATATTTTGGATGTTTCCATCCTGAACCCCAATCCCTGCCCCAAAGCAGAACCAAAATAATATATTTTCTTATTGTTTGTTATGAAAACCCGCTGAAAATGAGACAAAAAAGTATCCTTAGAGGAAACAGTGTGGAGATTGTTGTATTTCACCAAGGGGCCATAAGTCCTTCTATAAGACATCATTTACATGTTGTTAAAGGTTGAGCCTTGCGTGCTTTATATGTATATATCTGTACCGAAAAAAAAATGTGTATTTGCCTCTAAGATTGGTTGCCTCCTATTTTGAACGCTATCAGATGTGGTGCAGTAATCTTGGAGTACGGGTAGTGTGTGTAGTTTGAAGTATCACATGGCCACAAATGCGGCCACATGGTCCAGGAATAGATTCACATCTATTGTGAATATTCACATCTCAGGTGATGCTCAGCCTGAGCATGTGGAAAGCAGCCGTGAGCATGACAGTGGTTGGGTTCTGGAGGTTTTCAGCTGCCAGGGCTGGGTCCCTTGGGGCAGGGAGGGGTCTCACCCGCCCTCCTCCAGGGAGCCCCGAGTGAAACAGGCTGGCACAGAGTTCAGCAGCTTGGTTATGGCGAACATCATGTTATGCTCCTTTCTGGGAGAGAAGGACATGGGATCTGGATGGTGGCTAATGATAAGATTATCTGGTGCCAGCCAGTGGTGGTTTATGGGCGTGACTGCCGAGTTGCTAGAGACAGGGGGATATGGGTGGAGGACCTCCATTCCCCATCCCATTGAACCCAGAGTTCTCAGTTACAAAGACCCACTTACCTGGTTTTTTCCAGAGATTCACTCGTGGGTAAGGGTTGGCTCAAGCATGCGTAGAGTGGCCATGAGCATGGCAGCAGCTGGGTTCTGAAGGTTTTTGGCTGCCGAGGTTGGGTCCCTTGGAGTAGGAAGGGGTCTCAGCCTTCTCCCCTCCTCTGGAGTACCCGAGATCATTTATTTTTTGAGGAGAAAAAAATCCCATGTAATAAAATAGGAAACCCATGAGGTTATCTACTGAAGAAAATGAGTGAAGAGCTGATACTCAGCTTTAGGAATTAGAGGTGGAAAATGACCACAGATGTGGAAGGAATGGAAGGAATTCGGAGTCTGACCGATGCTTCTCCCTGAATTCCGTGTGCGCGTGTGAACAGTGGCTGGTATCATGTACACACTATTCTAAATATGCATCTTGTATGAGAAATGTTGGTGTGTGGAAACCAGTGGCTCTCTTCTATCTCAAAAATAACCAGCTTGAAAACCTGGAGAGGGTTCGGGGGTGCTGATACAGGAGTGAAGGCACTTGCTTGCATGCAGCCCACCACATATGGTTCCCAGAGCTTGCCGGGAGAAATGACCTTGAGCAGTGCCATTTGTGACACCCCCCCCCCCCCAATAAAGAGAGAAAATACCTTTAGAATAGTTCATCTGGGGCTGGAGTGATCACACAGTGGGTAGGGTATTTGCTTTGCACGTGGCCGACCCGGGTCAATTCTCAGCATCCCATATGGTCCCCCAAGCATCACCAGGAATAATTCCTGAGTGCAGAGCCAGGAGTAACCCCTGAGTATTGCCGGGTGTGACCCAAAAAGCAAAAGAGAGAGAGAGAGAGAGAGAGAGAGAGAGAGAGAGAGAGAGAGAGAGAGAGAATAGTTCATCACAATATGCCAAACACAGTAACAACAAGTCTCAAAATGGAGACATTGAGCCTGCAGGAAGGGAGAAGGCAGCACTTTATGATGGGGCTTGTTTATTCTCTGTGTTTTCCAAACCCAGCAGAAGAGGGTTTACCAGGTACCCGGCACACATCGAAGCCTTCACCCGAAGTAAGATTTTGTTATTCCCGGAACTGTTTCGGGTGAAGAAACTGGAGCACAGGGAGGTTAAGTAACTTGGCCAAAGCCCCCCAGCGCATAAGGTGGAACCAGGAGCCCCGTTCCTGTCTGCCTCCAGCCCTGGTTCTCTTGGCTCTCATGTTGGGGGCTAATCACGCCCCAGGAGGGATGCCCCCACCTCCAACCTCCAAAGGGCCCCAGTGCAACTGTGCCTTGCTAAGACTGACCAGCAATGCCCACCAAACTTCTGGGGTCAGCAGGTCAGCAGAGGGGCAAGTGCCTTGGAGAGGCACGTCCCCACCTGCGGGGAGGCCACCACCGGGTGAGCGGACAGCCCCCCCCTCCTCCCTCCATGTCCCTCCAGGCCCCCCTGACTCACCCCCGCGCCCTGGCCTCTCTGCAGATCCAGGAGATGGTGCACTCGGACATGGGCACCTACGACTCAGGCCGGCCGGGGCCGTTGCTGGGCCGCCCAGCCATGCTCAGCGGACCCATGAGCGCCCTGGGCCAGTCACAGCTCATCTCGCAGATGGGCCTCCGGACCAGCGTCCCGCATGGCTCCCCGTCGCCCCCTGGGAGCAAGTCCGCCACCCCGTCGCCCTCCAGCTCTACCCAGGAGGAGGACTCGGAAGCTCATTTCAAGGTAGGCGGGAGGGAGCCCAGAGGGCGCCCCCCTCTGGGCCGGGCCGGGCCCTGCAGAGAGATACATACACACACACACACCCCCCACTGACCTTCTGGAAAGACCCTTGTGAGCGCCCCTGGGGGTGAAGGCAGGGAGGGGTGGGGAGGGAAGGGTCGAGCCCCTCTGGAAGGGGCTCCTGGCGGAAGCCCTTGTGCCAAGCATCCTTGTCCAGCTCTGCCCTTGGTGCCCGGTGGTCTTGGGTACCCGGGTACCACAGCCCTTCTAAGGACAAGACAAGTCCGGGTGAGCTGGGTCAAATTGCAATTCCTAATGGTCAGTGCCTTTCCCGAGGCGTGGCTGGCCGTGAGGCAACACGCTGTGGCCTCTTTAGCGGTTATTGGAAAAAAATATTCCGGCAGAAATGTGGGGTCCAGTGGGGGTCACCTCCGGACAGCGGGCAGCACTAGGTACAGAGGGGGGTGCTAAGACTGACTTGGCCCCCTTGCACTGATCCACCTGCACTCAGGCACTCACACACCTTTGGACATGCTTCCACATCCACGGCGTCCCCTCCGAGGACACGGTCAGCCCCAGTGTGTGGCCTGAGCTGCCCAGTGTGGAGGCCACGGCCGGCCAGCCGACCCTCCCCTCCCCCATTCCAAGCAGGATGCTCTTTAGCAGGTGGGCCCTTGGCTTCTAGGGCTTTCTGACTGTTCCCTCCCCGGGCAGATCTCAGGAGAGAAGAGACCCTCCACGGACCCAGGGAAAAAGGCCAAGAACCCAAAGAAGAAGAAGAAGAAGGACCCCAACGAGCCACAGAAGCCCGTGTCCGCCTACGCCCTCTTCTTCAGGGACACTCAGGCGGCCATCAAGGGACAGAACCCCAGCGCCACCTTTGGGGACGTGTCCAAAATCGTGGCGTCCATGTGGGATAGTTTGGGAGAGGAGCAGAAGCAGGTGAGTCCCCCCCACCTCCCCAACGCAGGGACAGACACTCAGTGCCCATCTGCCGGCCTGGAGACCTTGGCTTATTCCTCTCTTAGCTGGGAGACTCCATCCTGCCTGTCCTGTCCTGCTCCCTTCCTGATGCATTCACTGTGACTTAACCTCCTCTTCTGGAAATAAGCAACTGCATTCATCTGCTCCCCCCCGACCCCTGCTCCCAGAGTCTGGGGTCCGGCTGCACCCTCCCCCCCCCGCCCCCGCTATATTCCTGTTGTGCCTCTCCAGGGGGACGAGAGAGCAGCCATCAGCTGTGTGGCCTCGGCTGCCTCCCTAACCTCTCTGGGCCTCCCTTTGGAACCAGGCTTAGAGGAAGAGGAAACCCCTCCCCCTCCAGGCTAAGTCACCACCATGAGTCAGGACTTGAACCCTGATCAGTTGAACCCGAAAGTTCAGCCTCTGGAGCCATAGCACAGCGGGTAGGGCATTTGATTTGCACACGGCCAACCCAGGTTCGATTCCCAGCATCCCATATGGTTCCCTGAGCACCGCCAGGAGTAATTCTTGAGTGCAGTGCCAGGAGTAACCCCTGTGCGTTGCCGGGTGTGACCCAAAAACAAAACAAACAAAAAAAAAAACAGGAAGTCTACGACTGTACCTCATGGTGTTTCACTAATAAAAAATTAAAAAAAAAAAAAACAGGAAGTCTACAACTGTACCTCATGGTGTTTCACTAATAAAAAATTTAAAAAAAAAAAAAACAACAACAGGAAGCTCAGCCTGGGTCCCGTTAGTTTAAACGGAATCAGTGAAGTGTCTTAGAGCCAAGAGCCCTGCAAGGAAATGTCAAATCGCAGTTGTGATGGGGTTGGGGTGGGGTGTCGGGGGGTATCATGAGGGTCCAGGACAGGGAGCGAACAGGCATCGTGGGGAGTCAGGTGAGGCCTCAAGGGGGGACCCCTGTGGAGGGGGCCCTCCTGAGCCTGGCCAGCCCCCCAGGTGGAGCGGAGGAAGCAGGGACGGGGGGCGCCCCACGGCTGTGCGGACCATGGGGGGCAGTGGTTCTGTTTAGCCGTATTCCAGAGGGCGGGGCACGGGGCAGCTACCCATCCAGGGCTGGGACAGTCCTGGGGACACGGTGGGCTGCACAGCGTCAGGACCACTCTCGGGGACCCTCTTCCACTCTCGGACAGGAGACGGAGGCTCAGAGAGAGAGCATGAACCCTGTTGATTTGCTGCCTCTGACACGTCACCTTCCTCCCCAGGGGTGCCGCAGGACACGCCACAGTGCCACGTGTCTCTCCGGGTGCAGATGTACGACCTGCTGAGGGACTGGGGGCTGCGGGGAGCGGGACCAGGAAAGACAGCCTCGCCCCTCCAGAAGTCCTAAGTTCAGTGTCCCCCAGGGGAGCCAGGATCGGGGGTTGGCCGCTTCCTGCCTTGGATCTCCCACACCACCCGTGCCCCCGGGCTGGGCTGTGAGGGTGCTGGGTGGACACAGGACCCCGATGGGCCAGGAATTGTGGGTTCTCCAGAACTTGCAGCGGCCATGCTTGGGGTGCCGGAGAGCCCCCTGGGGTTCAGGGGTTCAAGAATCAGAGCTAAGAGGCCAAGTCAGGCCAGGGGGCATCTCCCCCGGGATGTGGGCAGGCCACGTCCTGCCACATGACTCCAGTCAGGGTGCTTTGCTGTGGCCGGTTCCCTCCCTAGGAAGACCTCAGGTTTTTTTTTTTTTGGAGGGGGGCAGGCGTTTGGGATGTCTCCTTTCCAGTTCGGTGACTTTCAGGGGCTCCATCCCTGGAAGTGCCCCTCCGTCATCTCCACCTCCTGTGCTGTTCCGCTTACTGGATTTTATCACTTTTACCCATTTTCACTGACCTTTCTGGTGGTGGCTTTGCATTTTATTTATTTGCTTGTTTGTTTGTTTGTTTGTTTGGGGACCACACCCAGCATTGCTCAGGACTTACTCCTGGCTCTGCGCTCAGGGATATCCCTCCTGGTATGGTGTCTGTGGTGTTCAGGATCAAACCTGGATTGGCCACATGCAGGCAGGTGCCGACCCACTGTCCTGTTGCTCCAGCCCGGGTTTGGCATTTTCAATCCAGCTTGGTGGGTGCCTGTTTCCACCCAAGAAACAGGTATCCCTCCTTTCACTGAAGCTTTCCCGCATAGCCTGCTCCCCCCGCCCCTGTTTTTCTAACAGATTGTGGTTGACATATTTTAATGCTCATTTCATTTTGTTAACTATTCCCCTGGCTCTGTTGTAGTATCTAATTACTTTTCAATTAATTCTTGGGACTTCAAGTTAAAAAAAAACGTTATTTGACTTTTGTGAATAATGGTGATGATTTATGGTTTTGTCACATATTTTTCTCCTTATTTATCCAACTCTCTCTCTCTCTCACACACACACACACACACACAGGCTGCTCATTTGTGTTTGTTCTAACATAGTAAGAAATTTTGTGTCTATTTTTACCAGTAGTTGACACACTAATTACCAAAGGAGATCGTCTTGATAACATTGTAAGAAAAATAATGTTTCCCTTAAAAATTCCCAGCCTCATGTCGAAAGTAGACTATGGACTGAACATGTTTGCCACTCAATGCCTCTTTTGCAGACCACAACACCCAAAAGGAGAGCGAGAACACAGGGGATTGCCCTGCCACAGAGGCAGGGGGGGATGGGGGGATGGGGGTGGGGGGATATTATCCATGGTGGTGGAGAATGGGCACTGGTGGAGGGATGGGTATCTGATCATTGTATAATCGAAACCCAAGCACAAAAAATTGTAAATCTACAACTGTACCTCATGGTGTTTCACTAATAAAAAAAAATCAATAAAAAAAAAACAGAAAAAAACAACAGCAAAAAAAATCCTACTGAAAAATAAGATGTCTTAGATTATAGTTTAAATTCTAGTCCCAGTGCAGTCAATAACTACCCAAAGTAGCCTGATGAAATGTATATAAATCTTTCCAGCCTCACTTTATTTAAAAAATAAACATGATCCATTTGTTCAAAAAAAAAAATTCCCAGCCTCACGACTTGTTTCTTTAAAGCCTCAAGAAGCTGGTCAGAGGGGCTGGAGCAATAGCACAACGGGTAGGGCGTTTGCCTTGCACGCGGCTGACCCAGGTTCGATTCCCAGCATCCCATATGGTCCCCTGAACACCGCTGGGAGTGATTCCTGAGTGCAAAGCCAGGAGTAACACCTGAGCATTGCCGGGTGTGACCCAAAAAGCAAAGAAAAAAAAAGAAGCTGGTTAGAGGCAGAATACTCAAAGGACTGGAGTTATCCCCAACCCTGCATGGCCCCTAAGTATGCGGGTGGAACCCCTGAACTCCCAAGTGTCACTGGGCGTAGCTTTTAAAAACAAACAAAAACAGCAGCCAATTCCAGGACTTAGAGAAAAGAAAAAAAATAGTAAAATCTTTGTTGGCCAGAGTGATAGTAAAGTAGGTAGGGTGGTTGCCTTGCACTTGGCCCACCCAGATTCGATCCCCAGCACCCAATAGGGGTTCCCAAGCCTGCCAGGAGTGATCCCTGAGCATAGAGCCAGAAGGACGCCCTGAGCATCACAGGGTGTAGCAAGAAGGAAAAAAGCAACAAACAATCTGTAAAAGTTTAGACTCGGTGTTATTTTGGCACTTAAACAGTAATGCTGAATACCTGTGGTTTTAAGACGCGTATCAACATGTGAAAAGTTAATGTCTGGCTTCAAACAGTCATTGTAAACTGAGCTCCTGATCCTTAAAACCCATGATTTAGGATTAGCAGGATGGTTCTGCTGCTTCTGTTGGCCGGGCTCACTCATTTGTGTGTGGGCCGCCATGGGGACCGAGGCAGCAGCGGGCAGCCATAAGGACCGAGGCAGCAGCGGGCAGCCATGAGGACCGAGGCAGCAGCGGGCAGCCATGGGGACCGAGGCAGCAGCTCTGCCTCTGAGAGTAGAATGTGCAGGAGGTCCCAATGCTCAGGATTCCTCAGCCAGAGCAGTGGGGGCAACATTGTTCATATATATATGAACAATGTTGATGATAAATGTATCATCCCCCCAATAGGCTGTCCTTGCTCGGTGGCAACTCAAGAGAGTTCCCAGAGCCCCAAGAGGGTGAGGTGCAGTGAATAAGCACGTTTCCAGTCTGCGCACACCACTTATATTCTAGAAAGTTCTGTTCATTTCATTCTGTTCTACTGTCTGGAGCAGATCCCAAAATCCAGTCACCAAAAGTCATGGTGGGTGGTCTCTATTAAAAGGGACCCAAACTGGGGGCGTTCCTACAATGACAAGGGCCAGTGAGAAAGTACAGTGAGTAGCGCACTTGCCTTGCACACACAGCAGACCCAGGTTCGATCCCCAGCCCTTCCTCGAGCCCGGCCAGGAGAGCTCTCTGGGCACAGAGCCAGGAGAAACCCCTGAGTACTGCCAGGTGTGACCCAAGAATCTAAAGATAAAATAAAGTCTGAGCCAAGTGTTACCCAGTCGAATTAGACTAGCACACCATGAATGAATGAGTCAGGCTTGCTGGCCTGGTCTCATAGTGGGTTGTGGTTGTTCTTTGGGGTGCTCAGGACCTACTCCTGACTCAGTGCTCAGGGGACCATAGGTGGTGCTGGGAATAGAGCCAGGACCACTCTGGAAGCAGCTGCATGGGTGACAGACGCCTTACGTTGATACAGTCTCCCTGGCCCCTGGACTGGGTGGTGACCTGGGACGCTTGGTGGGAGGGAAGGTGTCATCAAGGACAAAGAATAGCTCCAAGGAGGAACTGGTGTGGAAGGGCGACACTCCCAAGTGAGCACAGCCCCAGACTGGCCCTCGCCCTCCTCCCAGCAACCCTCACACCCGTGAGCTGTGTCTCTGGAACATTCTCAGCGTCGCCCTGTCTTGGATCTTTCAGGCCTACAAGAGGAAAACCGAAGCGGCCAAGAAGGAGTATCTGAAGGCACTGGCCGCCTACAGGGCCAGCCTCGTCTCCAAGGTAATCCCGGAGGGATGGAGCAGGGGCGGGGGGACCCCCGTGGTGTGGGCGAGTCTGTGGAGGGTCCCTGCCTATCCCAGGGGGGTGCTCGGTCCTCCCCCAGGCCACACAGAATTGAGTTCTGGCCAGTGTCCAGGACTCGGGGCCACTTGCCTGGAAGCCAGTCTTGCCGTCTCAGCCATGGCCTTTCCTGCCCACTCTCCGTCTGCCTCCTCTGTCCACTGCAGCTCGGGCGACAGTCCAGGAGGCCTGCTATGTGGCGAGGGGAGGGCCAGGGTGCTTCCTGGTGTTACAAAGTCCTGGCATCGGGCAGGGCCAGGAAGAGTCCAGCTAAGTGAGTGTCCAGACGTAGGGGACAGCCAGGCAAAGGCGTGTGCAGAACAGTGGTCTGCAGGGGTTTGTTCTTGGGGACCCCCAGCAGTGCTCAGGGCTCACTCCTGACCAGCCTTAGAGACCATGCGGGGTCCTGGGCATTGAACCCAAGTCAGTCGCGTGCAAGGCACGTGCCCTCCTCTGTATAGTCACTCCAGTCCTGGATGGTGACCTGCTGGCTTGTGGAATCAGAGTAGGGCTGGTGGGATGGTCACACCAAGTGGACGAGGACCCTGATTAATAGTGTCAGGGGCCAGAGAGTTGGCCAGGGCCAAGCCCAGGGAGTGTTGCAGACCCTTCCTGGCCTCATGTCCCAACTTCTGCCTCTCTGCCTCCGTGTGTGTGTGTGTGTCTGCTTGTACGCACACATGTGTGCACGCATGTATGTGCATGTGTGTATGTGTGTACATGTGTGTATGTGCATGTGTCTGCATTGTGTGTCTATACACATGTGTACATTGTGTATGCGTGCATGCATGTATGTGTGTATATGTGCATGCCCATGTATGCATTGTGTGTCTGTACACACATGTGTGCATGTGTGTGCGTACATGCATGTGTGTGCGTGGATGTGTGGATGTGCGTGTGCACGTATGTGCATGTATATGTATGCATTGTGTGTCTGTACACACGTGTGCATGTGTGTTTGCGCGCGTGTGTGTTCGTATGCACACATGTGTGCATGCATGTACGTGCATGTGTGTATGTGTGTACATGTGTGTATGTGCATGTGTCTGCATTGTGTGCATGCGTGCGTGTGTATGTATGTGTGTATATGTGCATGCATATGTATGCATTGTGTGTCTGTATACACATGTGTGTGCATGTATGCATGTGTGTGCGTGCATGCGTGTGCGTGCATACGTGTGCATTGTGTGTACACACTTATGTGCATGTGTGTGTGCGTGCGTGCGTGCGTGCATGTGTGTGTGTGTGTGTGTGTGTGTGTGTGTGTCTCCTTCCAGAGCTCTCCAGACCAGGCAGAGACCAAGAGCACCCAGGCCAACCCGCCCGCCAAGATGCTGCCTCCGAAGCAGCCCCTGTACGCCGTGCCCGGCCTGGCTCCCTTCCTCACACCATCGGAGCTGCAGGCCTTCTGCGGCGGGGCCTCTCCCGCCAGCCTCGCCCGGACCCTCGGCTCCAAGTCGCTGCTGCCGGGCCTCAGTGCCTCCCCGCCGCCCCCCTCCTTCCCGCTCAGCCCCCCGCTGCACCAGCAGCTGCCCCTACCCCCCCACGCACAGGGCGCCCTCCTCAGCCCCCCTGTCAGCATGTCCCCGGCCCCGCAGCCCCCAGTCCTGCCCGCCCCCATGGCACTCCAGGTGCAGCTGGCCATGAGCCCGTCGCCCCCAGGGCCCCAGGTGAGTCGGGGGCTTGGGGACCCCTGGAGATAGAGGCAGCGGCTTGGGACTTCTCTCAGGGACACCCGGCGCTGTGCGCTCCAACCCCCCCCTCCCGCTGGGCCCCTTCCCTCTCCACCTCAGTTGCCATGTCTAGCCCCACGGCCTGGCTGCCTGAGGAGTGCACGGACCCTTGGGGTCTTGGGAAAGGCCAGGTCCCCCTGCCTCGCTCGCTGGCCTTTCCTGAGCTCTCAGTCACGGGGCCGAGGCCACTGCCCCTCTGCCAGGTCAGCCCGAGGTCCTGGCTCACCCCAAAGCCTTAGTGACCCCGTTGCACACAGCTGAGGCGGGTGGAATATGAACCCAAGACCTCAGTCAGCCCAGTGAGCCCATTGTACAGATGCAAGGCACTGAGGCTCAGCGAGGGAAAGGCCCTGAAGACCCAGTTGGCTAAGACAGAGCTGAGGTTCCTCAGAGAAGGGAGAAGTGGGGAGGCAGGTAGATCCCACCCACCGACAGGCAGAGGGACCCAGTCTAAGACAGAGACACCCGGGGTACAGGGGATCCCTGCTGTCCCTCAGCGGCCGCCTCCTCCCTGCTTGCAGGACTTTCCTCACCTCCCAGAGTTCCCCAGCAGCTCGGGGTCCCGCTCCCCTGGCCCGGCGAACCCCACGAGCAGCGGAGACTGGGACAGCAGTTACCCCAGCGGGGAGTGTGGCGTCAGCACCTGCAGGTGGGTGCGGGGCAGACCAGGGGAAAGGGGCCAGGGTCAGACTTGAAGTGGGGGCGGGCCTGGGACCAGGGCCTCCGAGCATCAGGGCGAAGCCCCAGCACTGCAAGGGTGCCCCAAGCATCACTGGGGTCACTCCACAGCACAGAGGCCAGGAGGAGCCCCCGACCACTCCCACTACCCCCTAAAATATTTCCGGTATAAAATGTGCTCACCGAGGTGCTGGAGCGATAGCACAGTGGGTAGGACGTTTGCCTTGCATGCCGCCGACCTGGGTTCGATCCTCGGCATCCCATAGGGTCTCCCGAGCACCACCAGGAGTAATTCCTGAGTGCAGACAGAGCCAGGAGGAACCCCTGAGCATCACTGGGTGTGACCCAAAAAGCACTGCACTGTACTGTCCTCCCGTTGTACATCAATTTGCTCGAGTGGGCCCAGTAACGTCTCCATTGTGAGACTTGTTACTGTGTTTGGCATATCGAATACGCCACAGGTAGCTTGCCAGGCTTTGCCGTGCAGGTGAGATACTCTTGGTAGCTTGCCGGGCTCTCTGAGAAGGGTAGAGGAATTGAACCCAGCTCGGCAGGGCCGGCTGCGTGCAAGGCAAACGCCCTACCACTGTACTATCACTCCAGCCGATCCCCAGCACCCGAAAACAAAAACAAAAACAAAAAAGTGCCACCGTGCTCAGGTTCTGTTTGACACGTGCAGGGGTGAGCCACTGGCCCGGGGCCTCCAGGAAGGAGGATGCACAGTTGTGGGGGTCAGCGGGGTGCCAGGAGGAGGCTTGGGTCCCGCCTGGTGGGCAGGGTGTGAGTGACGTGGATCCCGGTCCCTCTCTCCACAGCCTGCTCCCCAGGGAGAAATCGCTCTACCTCACCTAAGGCAGCAGCTCTCGGCCCTGAGGCTCGCAGGAAGGGATCCGGGACCCCCGGGGGCAGCGAGGCCCAGGCAGGAGGCGGGAGGCTGCCGGAGACCAGAGCGAGGGCCAGCCCGTGCCCGGGACGGACGCTCCTGCCCCACAGTCCCGAGCCCTGCGGAGGTGCCCAGCGGCTGCCCTGAGAACCCGCAGGAACCTGCCACCCGCCCGCTTGCTCCAGGCCCCGCGACCACCCCGTCCGACCCCTCAGCCCAGACGCCCGGCCTCAGCCCCGGCTCTGGGGCTGCCCACCCGCTCAACACCCCCCACCCCAGCCCAGAGCCCACCCGGGCACAGCCACGCCCGGGGCCAGCGTGAGGAGGCACCGCCCGCCCGTGTGTGTAGTTGAGTCCGTGTTTAGACTGTGCTGAAGACTTCTGTATTATTTCGTGGGGGGGAAGAAACGTAGTTTCCTGAACGGTGAAAAGCGTTTTCTATGGCTCTTAGCGCCTGTTTGGTTTGGGTTTTGCAGTGTGACCTGACGGGAGACACCCCCTGGCCTCCCCGGCCTGTGTCCGTCGCTTTCCAGTGGCCCCTGGGGACTCGGCTCCAGGAAGGGGGCCAGCGGAGGGGGGCTGCCACGCGGGGGGGGATGGGGATGGGGTTGGGGGCTTCTTGTCTTCTGCAGCTGTTTCCGGCCCCGGCCAAGATCTGTCTCAGTGCCCAGTGCTTCTCTCCGATGTCTTTATAATAAAACTCCTGAAAAGTTGACAGAGTCCGAACCTCCTTGCACTGGGTCAGCTAGGCCTTCTGGAAGCTTCCTAAGATTGTGGAGAGTGGAACCCCGTCCCCCACGGCCCCAGGCTGTGGAGAGTGGGACCTCCCAGCTGTGGAGAGTGGGGACCCCGTCTGTAGAGTGCAGACCTCCTGTTGTGGATAATGGGAACACCAGCTGTGAAGAGTGGGAACCTCCAGGTTGTAGAGACTGGGACCCCCGGCTGTGGAGAGTGGGACCCCCACCCTAGTTGGGTAGCGTGAGAACTTCCCCGGCTGTGGAGGGTATAGACCCTCCCCCCCCGCGTTGTGAATATTGGGACCCCCAGGTGTGAAGAGCAAGACCCCCGGCTGTGGAGACCCCCGTTGTGGCGAGTGGGACCCCCAGCCATGGAGAGTGGAACCCTGGCTGTGGAGAGTGGGACCCCCAGCTGTGGAGAGTGGGACCTCCGTTGTGAAGCGTGGGGACCCCCTTCTGTGGAGAATGGGATCCCTGGCTGTGGAGAGTGGGACCCCCGTTGTGGAGAGTGGGACCCCCAGTCGTGGAGAGTGGGACCCTGGCTGTGGAGAGTGGGGGTCCCCAGCTGTGGAGAGTGGGACCCCCGTTGTGAAGAGTGGGGACCCCCTTTTGTGGAGAGTGGGACCCCTGGCTGTGGAGAGTGGGAACCCCGTCTGTGAAGAGTGGGGGACCACCTGTCTTGGAAGAGTGAGGACCCCCTTCTGTGGAGAATGGGACCCCTGGCTCTGAAGAGGTGCCCCAGCTCTTCCCCAGGAGCGGCTGTCAGGGCCCTGCGTGTCTCGATGCCCACCCGGGTCCCCTTCTGTGCCGTGGCTCTAGGGCTGAGGTACTGTTTGCTGTGATTTGGTGAGTCCCTTGGGGAGACCTGGGGGTGCCCAGTAACCCCCATACATTTGTCCATACAAATGAAGGCCATTTCGATGGCTTCTTCTCTTGATGCCACTTGATGTAGGAAAGGTTGCACAGGAAGGCGCTGCTTCCAGATAGCAGGGAAACAAGAACATGCGTACTTCACATAACCAATTTTGTTTCTTTTTTATTAAAAAAAAATCATTCTGTTATTAAGACACCATGATTTGCAAAGTTGTTCACCAAGATGGAAACCTATACTTAAAAAAAAAAAAAAGCAATAGGAGGGCCGGGAGGATGGTCCACAGCCGGGAGCTGGCCAGAGGCGGGAGGGGCAGCTCAGTTAGGCCTTAACAGGGGCCTCTGCGACAGTGATGGGGGAAATGGTCACTCAGACAAGGACTGAGTGCTGAAAGGAGGTCACGTGAAATGCATGATGACCTTGAAAGGTACCTGTATTGAAAATCACAGTGCCTAAAAGGAAAAGGACAGTGGGGGGGGGGGATGAGGAGGGGAGAGAGAGGGAGGGAGAGAGGGAGGGAGAGAGAGAGAGAGAGCCTGCTATAAGAGACAGGCTGGAAATGGTGCTGGGAGGGAAACTGAGGACATTAGTGGTGCCAAACACACAGTGGAAGCATTGTATAACTGAAGTCCAGTCATGATCAACTTTGTAACTGCATTTCACAGTGATTCAATTAAAAAAAATTTTTTTTAAAAACACAGTAATTCCGGCTAGAGAGATAAGACAGGACGTGCGGCTGGCCTGGAGGGGGCTGGTTTGATGCCGCTCTCCTTCCTAACCCCCGGCACTGCCAGCATGGTCCCAGACCCCAAAACAATTATCAATGTTGTAGGGCCCGGCGCCTTCTCCCAGCTGGGTGCTTAGGGCTCGCTCCTTGCTGAGCTTGGGGACCCTACAGTGCCAAGGATGCGGCAGAAACTCCTGTGCGCAGGGCCGGTGTCATCTCTGTGGCCCTCGTCACTCAACTTGTCCCATGTTTGGGGGTGGGGATGGAACCGCAGTTAGTGGGTCCAGACACAGCTTGGGAAAAGTCAGAGGCAGAAGCAGGGGATGAATCAGCCGGCAGGAACCTCCGTCACATGGGCATCAGTGAGGGCTTGGCCCGCTCCGTGTTTGACTCTGGGATCGACCTTGGGGTCCACACGGGCAGCCCCAACTCCCAACTTCCCGGGTGGAGGCTCCCGCTTGCCCCTCCATCCCCTCATGACTGCACCCAGAGCTCAGGAATCCCGTGGAACGTTCCACGGGACAAGGCTGGCCTTACCACTGGCTGTGGAGCTCAGACCCAGGCAGGGTGGAGTTGCTCAGGGAGCATGCACTGGGACAGCCGTGGGGGCCGGGGGAGGTGCTGCCATTTGACTCCAGGGCCCGGGACGTGGGTGCTCCCACCACATCCCTCTGACAGGGGCTAAGCCCTCAGCTCCCGGGAGCCAGAGCCAGGCCTCCCGCCAGCAGTGCTGGCCCTGATCGTTTTTTCCACGTGGGCCTTATTAATCTCCACAGCTTGCACGTGGGCCTTGTTAATATCCACACGCCTCGTTAATTTCCATTTCCTGGAGCAGCAGTTAAACTCCAGCGCTCCTACAGAGACTGGGAATCAGCTCCTTCCCGCACTCTGCCTGCCTCCCCTTCTTGCTCTTTAAAAAAAATTAGGGACCACCCACAAGGGTGTGAGGAGGGGCTCTCTGGGCCAGCTCAGCCCAGTCCTGATGGTACTCGGGGCCCCAGGAACCCAGGCTCTATTGCTTGGACGTCTGCCCGGGTGCCCCTCTGAGAGCAGCCACCCAGGCGGGCCCTCGGGGCTAAAGTCCCCCTCTCGGGCTCTGTCGGTTTCTCCGGAAGTGGCCTGGTGGCGCTGGCCGTGCACAGTGGGGCAGCAGCATCAGATTTTTTTTTTCGCTTTTTGGGTCACCCTGGCGATGCACAGGGGTTACTCCTGGCTCTGTGCTCAGGAATCATTCCTGGCGGTGCTCAGGGGACCAAATGGGATGCTGGGAATCGAACCCGGGTTGGCTGCATGCAAGGCAAACACCCTCCCCACTGTGCTATCACTCCAGCCCCAGCGTCGGATTCTGTCACTGATGCTGGCCCTTCCTGCAGCTTCCTGGCAGCCAGTCCTTGAGCCATGCCAAGCCTGGCCTGTGGGCATCGGGGTGCCCAGGGGTTTCAGAGCAGTCTGGGCTGCCTGCTCACTCTCTCTTGCGGCTGATGCTGATGCTAAATGCTCCGAGACACGCCCCAGACACAGACATGCCACGGCCCTGGGAGCACCGACCCAGCCCCAGGGCTGTTGGTCTGAGCGCAGACAGGGGCCAGCGTGGCCGGGCACCCACCGTCTGCTGAGGCCAGATACATCTTGATAACACGTGTCCTGGCCCGACCGAGGGCAGTGCCTGGTCACTCCTGCGGGCAGTGGCCCCGTGCGTGATGCTGGCCCGGGGACCCGGTCACCCTCCCACCTCCCACCGTCCCCCCAAACCCACCGTGAGCCCTGCAGAGGCCAAGCTCCCTCGGCCCCCGTGAAGGCAGGGCTCAGCCCAAGATTTTGCTCAGGACCCCCCACAGCGGGCAGGGAAGGGCAACGTGCAGAAGGGCTCTTCTGGCCACCCCAAGTTCATGCATGAGCTGAAATGTGATGTGCCCCATCCACAGGAGCACTGACAGCTGAGCAACCCCCATTTGTACCCATGGACCCCCCCCACACACACATCCCTATGAACACACACCCCTACACAACACACACGTGCCCGTTAACACACTCTTCATACACGTGCCCACATAAAAACACCTGTGTACACTCACATGTGCCCATGCACACCCCCCCCCACACACACGTGACACCCCAAAGGGACACACACTCCAGACACATGGGCCCTCCACACACAAGCTCCCACACGTACACACACGCACCTCCCCACACTCACACGTCAGCCGGCCCACAGGCATGTGGCACACCCCACCCTGCACAGACACGTGTGTCCACACACAAATATACACAGCACAGGGACTGACACCAAATGTGCACACATGTCACGTGCGTACCTCAGCCCTTGAACTCTCCCTGTGGCCCCCAAATCTGGCTTCTGCCCAAGTTTCTTACACTTGGACCAAGGAAGGGAGACCCCCACACACACACCCTCACCCGGGAGGCTGAGACCTCAGACCACAGCACTGGGCTTGACTTGCACAGACAGCACCCTCCAACCCACCAGAGACGAACATCAAGGGAGGCAGGTGATGGCAGGTGATGCTTACACCAACTGCGAATCCACTTCTTGGCCCTCCCGTGCCCAGCAGATGGAGCTGCCCAGTGGTTGAAACCCCATAAGGCAGGTCCTGTCCAGCGTCGGGGCCCTGAGTCAGGCCAAAGGCAAGGGTCTGATGGGGGGAGGTTTGCGGCTGCCTTGGGCCCCCC